AATAATAATAATAATAATAATAATAATAATAATAATAATAATAATAATAATAGGCGGGAGGCAAAATAAATACATAAATAAAAAATGTGTCGGGTGACAATTACCTTCCTGTGGGTTGGGAAATGCTGTTCTAGCACACAGAAACTCTGAATACACAGCTGGAGAACCTGCACACTCATTCCCAGAAACTGCAGGGATACCTGAGTATTGCTTGCACACTCACTGAGGAGTTTCAGGAACACTTTTTTCTCGCTGGCCCAACCCAACACCTCTCTAGCACCTGAGAGTCGATCCGGCCAAAACAGGTTGTCTCGACTGGGCCACACCTGTGTTACATTCTTGGCAGCAAGAGCTCCAAGGTGAATAGAATCCCCTCTGTGAACCTTTCTAAGGCATCTCGCGAAGCAAAAGAGAGGCGTTTTCTTCCTTTTGTTCTCAGGGCACCAGCCCTGCTTGAGCTAACAACCTGCTTCTTCCTGTAACTGCTCAAGAATGGAAATTCTAAGGGGAGTAAACTACCTTTCCAAAGAAAATAGAAATGACAATCATGGAAAGGTAGGATGGATCCCAGAAAGTACCTTACTACTTTCCATCTCAGGCAGGTGGATGCTACCTTACAGACATAAACACACCTGGATGGGAGCTAATTCTGTCTCACCAGCTACATTCAGCCTGTGTTCTCCCTCTTTGACCTGATAAAGGTGGACAGACGTGACTCCTTGTTAAACCTACCTGTCAGGGAAATAATCTAGTAAATGAGGAAGGGTTTAAATCTCCTAGCATACAGCCAGATCGCTCTGTTTATTCGTGTAATGAATTTGCTCATAGTTCCTTGAAATTTTCCTCCAAATACACATTTTTTTCCTGTTTTTGAGCACATTAAATTCTGCTCAGTTATCAAATTTCAAGTTTTGTTCTTTGCTAACCCATTTCAAACATTCTACATATGGTTACAATGGCTTTCCAGACTCTTGGCTTTTTTCTTCAGACAATAGGAACTACATTTATTTTTGTTTACTTGTATCCCGCCTTTATTCTTTTTTATAAATAACTCAAGGCAGTGAACACATCCATCACACCTTCCTACTCCTAGTTTCCCCACAACAAACAACCCTGTGAGGTGGATTGGGGTGGGAAAGAATGACTGGCCCAAAGTCACCCAGCCACCTTTCGTGGTGAAGGCAGTACTAGAACTCTCAACTCTTGGCGATTAGCCCAAAGTCACCCAGCTGGTTTCCATGGCAAAGGCAGGACTTACAAGTGTGTACCTATATTCAGGCATGTATATATTCATTTCTGGGGTTTTCATTCTAGATTTCTCCTCTTCCCCACTGGTATTTGGTCACCATGGCCATGGTGGCGCAGGGGTTAGAATGCAGTACTGCAGGCTACTTCTGCTGACTGCCGGCTGCCAGCAATTTGGCAGTTCGAATCTCACTGGCTCAAGGTTGACTCAGACTTCTGTTCTTCCGAGGTCAGCAAAATGAGGACCCAGATTGTTGGGGCAAAAGGCTGACTCTGTAAAATGCTTAGAGAGGGCTTTAAAGCAGTGTGGTGGTATATAAGTCTAAGTGCTATTTGCTCTTCCTTTTTCCCTTCCCCTTCCTTCCTTCCTTCCTTCCATCCATCCATCCATCCATCCATGGTTGCACAGTGGTAAGGATGCAGCATCGCACGCTGACTCTGCCCATAGCCAGGAGTTCAATCCTGACCAGCTCAAGGTTGACTCAACCTTCCATCCTTCCGAGGTCGGTAAAATGAGGACCCAGATTGTTGAGGGCAATATGCTGACTCTATAAATGGCTAGGGAGAGCTGTAAAGCACTGTGAAGAGGTATATAAGTCTACTCCTATTGCTATTTTCTTCGAGGTCATGGAAGGCAACTGCCGTTTGTTGACGTAATGTTTCTCACAAGCCTGGGAATCTTTGATCTCTAACTTCCCACCTCATTTCTGACGGCTGCAATGCTTCCTTTTCCTCTCTCTATTCTGAACTTTAAGTGTTGTAAGAGTCAGAACATGGTTACTATTCGTTTTTAGATACTTTAGAAGGATGTGGGAGCTCTCAAATAGCCAACCTTAAATTTAAGGCTGCTCTATAGAAAGTTGGTGTTGGGAAAAAAAAAAAAACCTGTACCCAGATGCTTCTCTAGAGTTTCATCTCTGACTGCAGCTAAAACTAATTATTTAAAGAGAAAGTATAGCCAAAATTGTTGGGGTTTTTTTTCCTTCAAGCATCATGATGTTCATCATCTTATTAGTTAGTATTAAATTTCGCTTTTCTTCCATAGACTCCTCCAAGGGAGTGAATAACAACCAAAGCAATAACAACCAAAGCAACCACCTTTTAAAGTTGGCGAAGTTGAGAGAGAATGGCTGACCCAAAATTGCTCAGTGACTCTCCGTATATTTTAACCATTACTGTGCAATAATTCAAGCTCAAGGAATAATTCTACTTCCTTGCCTCAGTCCAAAATCAAAGATACATAATTGTCTTGTAATCCTAAAG